GCCATCCGTCCGTCCGTCATTCATCCGTCCGTCCGTATTCGCGTTTTATCCTAACCCGTTTTTAAAACACAAAGTTTGCATAATTAAAGGCAGTGCGGTTCGTCATGATCAACATTTTCAAAAGCGGCCAATTAGACCAGGGGTTAAAGGGCAATGACAATGACATGCAGGTGACATTTAACATTGCGTCTCACTAATTAAAATTTGCGTGTTTAAATTAATAATGCTTATCAAAGAAAGCAAAAATGTTTACAAGACAATCTCACATGTGGAATTTTTCACTTATACGTACTGCCTTGTGATGCAGTACAAGTATAAATACAAATGACAAAGCATTTGTATATTCTAAAACATAATTAAAAAATCATACGGCACATTTAAGATTTTAATATCGTATTTCAGCCGCGTTTATACTGTTTGGCGCATTCGCTGCGTTATATTAATTTATATACACAGAAAAGCATGTCATTGTCCATGCAGACCATAGGCAAAAAGCATTTGTCAACCACATACCAAATTTAAGCAATCGTTAAATCATATACATGTGATGGAAATAATATGGAAATAATGTTGAATGAAAGCTAGCATCGCGTATAATATTAAAAGCACCGCATATTATTAGTGCTCGAACGCGTATAATTGCAAAAGCACCGTGTATATAAATGGTGAAAGCACCGCGTATAATACTGGAACCACCGCGTATAATGGCGAAAGCACCTTGTATAATGCCGAAAGCACCGCCGTATAATGCTAAAAGCATCCAACAAAATGCCGTTTGATTACTCTAAGCCAGCTATGGCTTTCCATAAAAGAAGACCAAAGATGAAAGATGATCACATCGCCTGTTTGCCTTATGCCTGACCGCGCTGCACCACGGTTAAAATTCACTGGTACCGTCATGCAATGCGCCAAATAGAAAATTTTGATTTCGACCCACAAAACAAAATTAGGATCTGCTGCCTTGCTCGCTCGCTTCAGGCTCGCTCGCTGCGGCAGCAATGAGTTATCCGACTATTATTAAAGCAGGACCTTTTTAACATAACAACCTGGATTCCCCCCAGTCCTCCCCCCCCCCACAAAATCGCATTTTGTCATTATAATGATAAATGCAGATTGTTAATAATTTTTTATTTTTTGTGCGTAAATACAAGTATAGTTAGCATAAATTTTAGAGAAAATTTGGATACTCAGAATGCAGGTAATGGCATTTCCGGGCTTCAAATTTCAAAAATTTTCTGGGGGAATATGCCCCCATACCCCTAATCATGCATGGTATGTCAGCCACACAAGTGGCCTTCGGCCATTGCTATCCCCCTCTAATATATTATCTCACAGAAATGATCTACTATTCATACCTAGTTACATTACTGTTGCTCAACCTTTAACAAAACTCACTTCATAATAATTTCGCAGCAATAATTTCGTTTGGACTGATGATTTGTTACCCAGACTTTGATCAAGAATTTGTATATAATTGTAAACAGACGCTTCTGATGTCAGTCTAGGAGCCGTTCTTTCTACTAACAGTCCCCCAAGTCCCATCTACAAGTCAAATTGTGTGTTGTAAATAATGTAATGTTGGTTTTTTTTTTGTTTGTTTTTTATATATAGATATATACATATTATTAGGGACCCTGTAAATGGAGCATTAAGCTCTGTAGGGTTAACCTGTCATTTATGACTAAGTTTGTAAAAAAAAATAAATAAAAAATTAAATGTCCCCAAGTCCCACATACTAACTGAGTCTCCAAGTCCCACCTACTAATTAATGGTCCCCAAGTCCCACCAACTAACACTCCTGTGACTTAATTGGGGACCATTAGTAGGTGGGACTTGGGGACCGTTAGTAGGTGGGGCTTGGGGATCGTTAGTAAGTCGGACATGGGGACCATTAGTAGGTAGGACTTGGGTATCATTGTAGGTGTGACTTGGGGACTATTAGTAGGTGGGACTTGGCGACCGTAATAGTAGGGGAGACTTGGGGATCATTAGTAAGTGGAACTTGGGGACCATTAGTAGGTGGATCTTGGCAACTATTAGTAGGTGGGAGTAGGGAAGTTATCAAGGGTGGGTAGTAGCGAAGTAGTAGTAGTTCGCTACTGTAGCGAACTACAATTTTCAAGTAGCCAGTAGTTTTTGACTACTTTTTTAAAACAGTAGTTGTAGTTATAGCGAACTAAATTTTGCCTAAAAGTAGCCAAATAGTTGACTACTTTTCAAACAGCGAATCGCTGTTCGCTACTTTTTAAAATTGTTAGCAACCGTTCGTAGAATAGAATGATATTAAGACACGGTTTGCTTAAAAGATTATTTTATACAGTAAAGATTATTTTAGCGCAATGAAAAGTGGCACTCCTGAACCATGTAGTGCTTATAAAAATGTTGCTTTGACCCTTTTTGTTTACTGTTGCTACTCGTAAGTAGATTTGTTATAAGTTATATTACAGCCTGAGCTAGTGGATGCTCCAAATACCGTAAAACTGAAAAATATAGAGTAGCGAAATAGCGAAATAGTTCGCTACATTTTTTAAGCAGTAGCTGTAGTCAGTAGCGAACTACCTTTGTTCAAAAGTAGCAGTAGTTGTAGCTGACTACATATTTTTGAAGTAGCTGTAGTTGTAGCGAACTACAAAAATTTTGTAGTCAACCCACCCTTGCTTGGGGACCATTAGTAGGTGGATCTTGGGAACTATTAGTAGGTGGGACTTCCTACTAACGATACCCAAGTTCCACCTACTAATGGTCGCCAAGTCCCACCTACGAAAGGTCCCCAAGCCTTCCCTTACCCAGAAATGGTCACGTACGTTCCAACAACTGTGAACTATAGGATAAGATTCCTCACTGAGGCATTTGCATTAAACATTTCAAAAAGGATGTGAGAGTATAGGTAGAATCTGGCAAGATGGCATCGCAAACTGTGAAAAGGTGTTTTATGCAAACACATGACTTATCATATACCACAGACTAGGGCTTCGGTAGCGAAGTGGTTAGCGCACTTGCCTTTCACCTCTAAGGCCTTGGGTTCAAATCTCAGTGAGAACTTCTCAATGTGACTCGAACCTAGTCCTCATGTGAAAAAAGAGTAAAGTCAATGCTCTGCCGAAAGTCGTGGGTTTTCTTCGGGTAGTCCGTGTTTCCTCCCACAGGGAAAGTTGACAGCTAGGGTGGGTTAGGCTCATAGGTCTGGAGGCAGATCATTAACGAGGTATGAACTAATAGCGGCTGCTCAAGCGCCATTTGTAAGCTCTGAAAGTCTACCTCGGTCTGCTTCACATCAGTCCGGTTCTATCTATCTATTCATAATGTAACCAGTCACTGAAAAGCCCTGATAGGGAGTGTGCTGTGAAATATCTGTAAGGCCCGTTTCAGACGGCGTACTTCTCATGTGCCGAACTTAATTGTATTAGATGCCACACAAGAACGGCAGTGATTCAAACGGCGTACCAAATACAATGTTATTGACAACGTCGCATAATGCAACGCACACCTGCTTCCTGCTGCTGCAACGCACACCTGCTTCATTGCTGTTAATTTTTCAATCCACACGGGGGGAGGGTCAGAAAAGTTTCTACTTTTATGAGGGGGGAGGCACAAAAAGTTTGCCTTCAGTCTGGAGGGAGGGGGGGGGTCAAAAAAGTTTTCAATCCTTATTTTCCCCATTTCCCAACCCCCCCCCCATAAATAATGACCACTCCCTAATAAATTAAATTAAAGCCAAACTAAAAACTTCCCTCCTTTGACGATTGAAGCAAGCTTTAGAAATTAGAAAAGAATATTTTCTCATCAACTATCGTCAAAAAAGGAAACAAAACACTACAAAATATAAAAATATGAAGCTTTGTACCTTTCGTATCAGTACTAGAAACCAACGGCGGTTCGACCTCTTGGTTTGATAATTCACAGCGTAGATTTTCACTTCGCCTTCATCTTTTCCAGTCGATTTATCGCCTTGGCTAGCCACATTCTTTAAATTTCAACCTTCGACAAGCAAATACATGTGAATAATATATTAAAAATAAGGAATGAATATTTTGTATACAAATTTCAATTTTCAAATTTAACGTTAACATACGGCGTTCTAGCGGCTAGCACGAGACGGACTTGACCGATACGGGCTAGTAGAGTCGGGAAGTATGGACTGATGAGGCACTTTTCTTTTTAAAACTTTTATTAAAAATTTACCATTCGGTATAAAACAGATCTTCTAATTTACCGATCAATTTAATTGCGACTAAAAAAGTTAGCAGTGTGTTTTGTGCTATTTATCTAACTTATAAAAATCTAAAAATGTATCTTTACTACTTTTTTATGTCATATCAAATTTAAAAACAAGAGGTACCCGTCTACTTTCTGGTCCGGCTTCATTTTAACCAATCCAGATCACGATCCAAAAACGCTCGTAATCTGATTGGCTAAATGAAGTGATCCGTTAATCCCACCAAGCTTGGAAGTTTGGGGTCATAAAATAAGGTGGCCAATCAAAATCAACGTGTTTTCCAAAATATTATCGATAAAAACTAAACATATAAATGGAATCAAAGGATATATTATACTACACGATACGATTATTATTACAAACTATTTACAAACAATAACGGTTCAGCTTAATTGCTTGTTGTATATAAAGGCCAATATAAACAATATAAAGCCATCCCAATACCCTTGACTCCACACGATTGTTTTATAAAATAACTACAGTGAAAAAATGACATTTTGGGAATCCCGCGAAGGCATTTTAATTCCTCGTGCAGGATAGGGTAGCCTGATCCTGCACGGCTATTGACCAGTCAAATTGCGTGTTTCACTGTAGTTATTATATGTCATTTGCAACCTCGTACCCAGGGTTCTCTTTGGTACGAGGTTGTGTCATTTGGCGAAAAGCTCAACAGAGGTTCAACAGAGGTACTAGAAGTGTACATATGCCCGTTTGCAGGTTATGTGGTGGGTATCAATGTCTTATATAAATAAGAGTAAAGCTGAAAAAAATAAATATTATAATAGCCAACACCACTTATAACCTAAGTCATACTATGCCTTAGGAAATTCCAACACGGAATTATGCAGCCTGCAGAGAAGGGAGACTGTTAATCAAGGGCAGATTTTCATTTTTTAAAAGGAGGGGTGGAAACATTTCTAGTGGGGTGCAAGTGGCACTACTGAGCGAGCTTCGGCAGGGGTTAGGCGTTAGGGTTAACGATTTTTATACAAAATAGGAGGGGTGAAGCGACGTTTTGGTGGGGTTGAACACTTTATATGAGGGGTTAGAGAGATTCTAGGGGCCCAGTAAATCCACCCATGCTGTAAATTAAATTGAGTGTCAGATATACTCTCCCCTTGACAAGTACAGTAAAATCACCTGGCATTAGGCAAAGAATGGTACATTGGAAGAAGGGTTTATAGATCAGGTGATTATGATGGACACCAATCACACTGGTGTAACAGGAAATATGCCCCCCCCCCCCAAAAAAAAAAAAAAAACCCAACAAATATATGCTGCTCTGGGCCAAAATTCGTAGGAAATATGGCTACCCATTTGAAAAAACCACACCTCCCCTTACTTATCCATAGGCATATATATTTATTTGTTTTCAGAAATGTTTGGTCCTGTAGAAGCAGAAAAGAAATAAATATATAAACCTGCAACTTTTAGGTTCTTGTAGGAACGTTGAACTTGCAGGTTCATGACAACTTGCACTGCTATTCACCTTATTAATAAATATTGCAACTATACAAAAACTAAATTATATAGAGAATAATACATGGGTGCGCGGAAATACCAGATTTATTTCGAGTGTTGAACATGATATCTCACGAGTGAGCGCAGCGAACGAGTGAGATATCATGTTCAACACGAGAAATACATCTGGTATTTCCAAGCACCCATGTATTTTTCTGTTTATTATATAAACAAAATTCAGTGAAAAACAATAAAACGTCCGTGGCAATGCGTTTTACAACAAATGATATTTTCACACGTAAAAATATCGTATTTTTTACGTGTGTTTAAATACGATTTTTCTCAGTGGCCAAAAACTCTATATAACACTTATGTTTATATAATAAATTATTATAACCACTTGCTAGACTTACTAGACACTAACACACCTACCTTCTGTCCAATTCCTTGTCAACATCACTGATGTTAGTGTAACCGGCCACCATGTTCCTAGACAGTGTGCTGGGTAGAGTTTATCACTCCCTTGAAAACATAGGGGCACTGGCAAGGAACATGGCAACTGTGGCACCACAGAATAGAGACTACACAGAAATCTGACTCATCCAAAAACACAACTGCTGCCACACCACAATTTGTAATGATTTGTCATCAAAATGCTGCACTTGCTATGTTCCTAGCCAGTGCACTTACAGGAGGTACTCACCCCCTGAACATCTGCCATTTTGATTATTTTCACGGGTGTGAATGCCTCTCAAAAGCACACTGCCTAGGAAAATGGCAACAGCGTTACAATGCATGGCTACGCCAAAATCATAGGTTTTTATGCCTCAGGGTAAAACCTCTGTGTCATACAGAGTCAGACCTCTGTATTGTACAGACTGTATGCTCTGTGTTTTCACTAACCACGAGTCATACATGTATAAATCATGACATTCAACATTTACACGGTTCTAAAATGCTGATTATGCTATCATTTAATATCTTTTTGAAACTGAGATTTCATATCGATTTGTCAAATATGTTTATACGAGACTCAGTTTCATTATTATGCATAATATTATATTTTTTCAGTCCTAAAGTGGGGGAGGGAGGGGGGATTTCCAAAGAGGGAGCCCAAGGAAACCGGCCTCGGGGTCAAATTTAAGGGGGGGAGGCAAATTTCCTGGGACACCAGGACAAACATACTCTGCATATCTATACACAATATTTAATAAAATATCAATCAGCCAAAATCAAGAACTAAACCAATGAACTATCATCCAAAGTAACAGCTTACTTGTTATGTTTTATTTTATGATAAATCAATGTTGATAGTTGATTGAAGGATTTCTTGCATATTTTGCATTTGTAAGGTTTATCTGCAGCTTTTATTGAATGAGTTAATTGATGAGTTTTATACGCAGTGGCCAGACTAAATGTTTTCCCACATTTACATTTGAATATGTAATCACAACCTAGCTTGACATGAAAATCTAAGTCATCGTTTGCAGAAAACTGCTTGTTACAGACCTTGCAAGCATTACCATTAAGAACGACAGAATGATCCATCCTGATGTGTAGCAGATAAACAGAAAGTTGGTTGAAAGACTTCCCACAAGTTTTGCATACATGAATTTTCTTACCAGCACAAGATTTCTGATGTAGTTCCAAAATAGCTTCTGTGGTAAATATTTTTTGACATCTCTTACATTTGAACGAGACTCTTCCTGTGTGTACTTTTTCATGTCTACAAAGATCATCTAAATCTGTGGTAATAGCTGGACAGAAATCACACTTGTATGATAAATCACCAGAGTTGGCTCTTCTATGAATTGCCAAAGATTTTGGATTTGTAAAGAGTGTCTGACCATTATTACCTTTTGAAATTTTTCCACATTCAAAGACATGATTCTTGAGGGTAGCATGCTTTCTAAAAGATTTGCTACATTTATGACATTTGTAAGATTGCTTGTGAGTTTTTATATGTCTTACCAATGCGGATACATTTGTGAAACATTTTTGACAAACATCACATTTGTATGGTGAATCTGCATAATTGTCACAGCTATGATTCTTGAGAGATTTATGACAATTAAAAACATTGTTACATTTATTGCAGCTGAGAGATTCCTGGTCATTATGAACTCTCCTTGTATGTTTTTCCAACGCTTGTGGATTTGTGAAACATTTTTGGCAAACATTACATTTGTATGGCGAGTCTTGATAATTGACACAATGATGATCCTTGAGGAATGAATTGCGCTGGAATACTTTGTTACATTTATCGCAAGTGCGAGATTCCTGGTCATTATGAACCTTCATATGTCCTGCTAATGCTGGAGAATTTGTGAAGCATTTTTGACAAACATCACATTTGTATGGTGAATCTACATAATTGTCACAGGCATGGTTCTTGAGAGATTTATGCCACATAAATACTTTGTTACACTTATCGCAAGTGTGAGATTCCTGGTGAGTATGAATCTTCATGTGTCTGGCTAATGCTGCTGGATTTGTGAAGCATTTTTGACAAACAGTACATTTGTAAGGTGAGTCCTCATAATTAACACAGTGATGATACCTGAGAGATGCACGGTACTTAAATACTTTGTTACATTTATCACACTTGAAAGATTCCCCATTATTATGAATTCTCGTTGTATGCTTTGCTAATGCTGGAGGATTTAGGAAGCATTTTTGACAAATGTTACATTTGTATGGTGAATCTGTATAATTGTCACAGTTGTGGTTCTTGAGAGATCTATGCCACTTAAAAACTTTATTACATTTATCACATGTGTAAGATTCTTGATCTTTATGGACTTTCATATGTTTGGTCAATTCAGATCGAATTTTAAATGCCTTCTGACAAACATTACACTCATGTTGTTTGTGAGATTGTAAATATTCCTCACTGCTAGTCACCATGTGTCTTTTTTTATGACGTGTTAATGTTTGTCTACAGGAAAATGATTTTCCACATTCATCACATTTCTCTGTTTTCTTCATGTCTGAAGAATCATGTCCTCTAACATGTCGATCTAAATACTGTTTGATCACAAATGATTTATTACATTTTTCACAATGATATTCTTTCCCATCTGCGTGTAGTTTGGAATGAAGTCTCAAATATCTTTTTGTTTTGAATGCTTTGTCACACATGTCACATTTATATGGCCGTTCCTCTGTATGTAAAGCTCTGTGTGTATATAAATTTGATAAGTGAACAAATGCAAGGCCACAGATTTTACATTTATGTCTTTTTTCACCATGGATCGCTTTATGATTTCTTAAATTTTTTCTTGAAGAGAATTCTTTTGTGCAGACATCACATTTATGACAGCCTGTTTCATTTGTGGGATTTGTACTTGTGGGATTCGTAATTGTGGGATTCGTAATTGTGGGATTCATAATTGTGGGGGCAACTGTGGGACGTTCTTTATGACAGAAAATTGCTTCTTCATAAACTGGGTAGGTCTTTTTGCATGTATCACATTCAAATAGAGTGCCATTGTGTTCCATTAAAATATGCTTTGCGAGCATATGAGATGTTTGAAATGATTGGTCACAGCACTTGCATGTGACAAAATCATCACCTGAGTGACAATGCCTTCGGTGCTTGTATATAGTTTGATTGTTGCTAAATACTTTGCCACAAAATGCACATGGATATGTCATACTCGTTTGGGTTGTTTCCCAGGGTGGTGGTTTCCTAACTACAAAATATTTTGGCCGGTCAGGATGATACAGTCGCTTGTGACTTTTCAAGGTACATTGAGAAGGAAATGTCTCTTCACAAAATGCACATTTCAACATTTTTACTTCGACCTTGTGAGTGCGAACATGTGAGGCCAAAGAGGATGGATGATCAAAACCAATCCCACATTCCTTGCAATGATGCGATTTATCACCATTATGTTGATTTTCATGTTGTGATAAAAATCCTTGCTTTTTAAATGTCTTCGGACAAAATTTACATTTATATGGTCGATCAATCCCTTTATGCACAACTTTGATGTGGTTTATTAACGTAGACTGCCCACAGAAAGCCTTTTCACAATACTTACATTGGAATGATTTTTCCCCACTATGCGTTTTCTCGTGAGCCTCCAAGTGACAACGATTACGGAATGATTTATTGCAAACTTTGCATGTAAAAGGTTTAAAAGTGCTGTGCACTTGATTTTCATGTCGTTGTAAATATGCAAGTTTACCAAACCTTGTCTGACAAATATCGCATTCAAAAGGCTTGTCTTTGCCATCTTCACGAATTTCACACACGAATGTCGGATCCTCGTCTACTTTGGGCATTGAACAATCTTTGAAATATGGAACTTGGTCAACAAGATGTTTTTTATTATTTCATTTTACAGTAATATAAAACATTTATACCACATGCATTTATACCATTTTACCATGCTTCTTTTTATCATGTTTTGTTTTTATCAAAAACGTATGGTCGTGAATGGTACTGCAAGCGCATGCGCAAATGTATTGCGGGCTCGGACCCAACTTCACCCAACCATAGATTGACCCAACGCAGTGACCCAACGAAGCTCTAGGAAGATGTTCTGTGATTGGTTGATTATGACAATAGAATAACCTATATTCATTTAAATGTGCACCCCCCCCCCCCCTATTGACGGGTCTGGATATCCAATGGGGGAGAAGGAGGAGGTCTTCGTCTTAAATTTTGCTGCAGGGTAACTTGAGAGATTAAAAAAAGGCAAAAATGAGGTGTTTTAGTGATATCCAAGAGGGAAAAAGCGATATCCTAAAGGGGTTAGTAAGATATCCTCTGGGGTAACTTCCACAAATTACATTCAAGGGCCAAGGGGTTCCAAATATTTTATATCCTATACTAAGGGGATTATGAAGGGTGTCTATATAAAATGGAATGGTCCAATGTGTTGTAATGTATCTTCTATAAAGTTGAAGCCAAGGGGTTTTGCAGCGGAAATTTCGAGCTGAAGATTATATACCATACAATTTTCACACCTATCCAGGGGCAGTTGTGAAAAATGCAACTTTAGGCCCTGATTCCGTACCATATACTGGCATCACCCACTATACAGGGTGTTCCAGAAAAAAGTACACAGTTGGAAAAATTTCACTAAAGTCAGATGCATGCGCGCGACATTTGCGAATACTTTCAGTAAGGCCGGAACTACTGTGGAGGGGTAACACCCCAAAAGAAAAATCAAGAAAGGGGGCCCAACTTTCCCAGAGGGGACCCCGGAATGCTGGAATTGCGGAGCGTGTTACATAATAAGGAATTTTCTGAAAAATTGAGGTAAAAAAGGTTTGAAAAAGTATTTTAACCCCCCATTAAAGGAAAAAAATTTGGGCCGTTTTGTTTTCGGAAAAAAACCCTGATCTCCGCAGTTCAGATTTAATATGAAACAGTTATTGTGGTCAGGATTTTATTCAAGCCTTACATACATGTATAGATGGCCGGCGCGACCGTAAAGCATGTTAACGTTGAACATTGGTTGCACTAGCATTTATTTCGCATGGAAATATGCATGAAAATATCATCTTAGTGAGGACAAATTTGTTAAACTGAGTTCATCGGGCTCAAATGCATGTAGGGATGCAAAATTTAAAAGTAGTATCGCCAGTAAGTCCTATCCTGTGGCCTAATCTTGCTTAATTCGCTTTAACTCACCTTGTGACGCCCTTACTCGCGGAGAGTTTAGAACCCCGAACCCTTGTTTCATAAAGATATTTAGTGACGGATCAGCATCCAACGGTTTACATTTACACCCGGTTTTCAACTGGCATTTATTCTGATTTCATAGCTTTACAATCATATTTATTATTAAAAATATTTTTATAACATTTGCTTTAATCTTGTAAAAATGCAGTCATTTTTATTGCAATATATAATCAAACCAGATATTCCCAATATTAATCCAATGAGAACAATAATCATCATAATGGAACAGCGTGATCTCTCTACACAACGGGAAAAATATATAATTGACTATAAAGACTTTGACATAACGTTAGTTTTAACCTGGTTTAAAGTGTATATTATTGCAAGGGGTTTATATGGATGAGCCGCATACTGCATGACTGGATATACTGGATATGGTAGTCTACCGGATGCTGGTCAAGGAAAAATGGTAACCGGATAATGTATCTATGGCAGTATTTGGGCAATACTTCACTACCTTTCCCCCTAATATAGTTAACTATTTTATTATGTGCTTTATCGCTCTATATAACAAGCATAAATATCTGTGGCACAGGTGTCGGTGCGCAATCTACAGCAGAGAGCAGGTTTCTTCGCGAAAACAATTTCTGCACGCCCAGTAATTGCTCCTGTTCCACAATTTCTTAACACGCAAAAAAAGACAAAGAAAACAATTTCGCCGAGAAAAAGCGCTTGTGGAATCAGACCTTTACAAAGTATTATACGTTATAACTGCATATTCAAGGACAAAACCGGAGTAAACGTGTATGGACAAACATAAATCTGCATGATCTGTACTAAATCCAGTCAATATACTTAAACCAATTTTTACCTATTCTTTTATTTTCTTTTCCATTCTGTGAAACGTGTTCATCGTTGACAGATTTTTCGTCTAAAACATAAAAATTGTATAAAACGTCAACTCTATCACGTCACCTGGCCATACAACAAGAACCTGTTAAAGATACACAATAGAAATAACCTAGTAATGAGGGTCCACAATACACGCGGTTCTTAAATCGCGAATCCCGTGCTCAAACGTTTTATTATTGCGCATGTTTTTCCTAGATTCTTCTCATCCTGTGGCCCGCCACTGCTTGAAATCCCGAATCCAGTCATTTCTCTTCCCTTGCAATACCTGCATTCCCTTGCATTCCTCAAATCAACGTTATTCCACGTCGCACCTATTGTGGACACTCACTAACTACAAACAAATGAACGAACGTCATTGTTCAATGACTTTCTTTCAGATAACGCCAATCTGACCAAACATTTTGGCGGTAAAACAACCAGTATTTAATTCTGGTT